TTTCAAAAAAAATTAAAAAACATAGAAATAATTCGAAGCATCGTTGTTAGAATAATTTCAAATTCAAAAATAAATTTTATAATATAAAATAATTTAAAAAATGTAATTAGACCTAATTCTGATAATGGATTATTATTGATTATTTCACTTGAATTCTTAAAATTGTAGCATGTTGCGCATTTGGAGAACAAATCAACAAGAGATTGCCTCGTTATAAACATCTGTACTAATAAATTCAAAATCGCTTACTTTCTTAGTTATCGAATTACAAAAATTTAAGACTTTTTAGCGAATGAATAAATATTAAATTTTAGAACATATTTACGAAACTAATGTAATGTATCCTATACGTTTTTATGAATTTATGTATTCCAAAAGATATTTTTGCGAAAACTATACTAAAATATGTATAGAAAAACCTTCAACATTTTCTGAACATAGTTTCCAATGAAATGGAAATGTGATTTTTCAAATGTGATATTCAGGGTTGATGAATGTGATTTTTCAAATGTGATTTTTCAAATGTGATGAATGTGATTTTTCAAATGTTTTAGATCTTAACTCTTCTAATTCAATCAGCTATATATAAATATTTTGTAAAAAAATACACAAAAATTATTATAATACCCAAATAAAGGGAGCTTATAATTGATATAATTGATAAAACTTCATAAACAGCAATATATTAAATTTTATTTCATTATTTCGAGTATTAACTCATTATACCTTAGCATTTTTTTTCTCTATATAATTTACTACTCTGGGCTAAATTATTTCACAGAGAGCTTCTTTATTTTTAGGAAAACGAGTATTGCAATTGTATAATGGATTGAAGTTGTTTTTCACAATATTCAGCAATAACTTTTTCTTCGTTGTATATTTTTAACTGAAGTGCAAATTATTGGTCAAAATTTCTGTTTTTTACAATTTCATTTTTTATACACATTTTAGCTGCAATTTTTACATCTATGAGATGACAGCCTTCTTCAAGCATATTAAAAATGTAAGGAAAAGTTGCCAATGGAGTATGTTTTATAGAATGCTAACCTAAATTCATGGAAACGATAAAAAAATATTTAAAAATGGTTTGAATAAGCAAAAACATCATTTACATCTTCCAAGAAGAAGGGACCAATAACCCTTTCTGATGTTACTCCACACTATGTTGTGACTTTAACCGGGTGCAATGGACTTGTATGAACTTGGCGTGGATTTTCGGTGCCCCAGAATCTGGTATTCTGCTTATTCGCATGTCCATTCAAATAGAATTGAGCTTCATCTCCCATGATCAACTTGTGAACAAACTCATTGTCATTTCTTGCAGTTCTGTCAAACCTATCAGCATAATTTAGTTTTTGAAAGTCTGGTGGTTTTAAAGGTTGCACTAATTGAATTTTGTAATGGTACATGTGCAAGTCTCTTTTCATGCGCTGCAGAGAACTCCGTGAGATGCCAAGTTTTTGAGAACGCCTTCGAGTGAATGCTATGGCTTCAATGCTATGGCTCGAAGCTTCAGTCTTTTCACATGTACGTACTGAACGACCTCGACCACTTCTAGTTCTAGCATTTACAGATCCATGCTCTTAATAACGTTTTACTAAGTTCATTATTACAGGCCTACTAAGGGGATGTCGAACATTAAAATGGCGCATATACAATCTTTGCATTGCAGCAATTGACCGTCTATTTTCAAAGTAAAATTCAATTATCTTCACTCGTTGTTGTGTAGTAATTTTATCTGTACAAAAATATTTAGATTATGTTATTTAACCCTTTACAGGCCAAATTATGACAAATTAATGTAAAGAATATTATTTTTTGTTATACTAAAAATTTAAGTTAACAAAATAAGTTATTGAAAAAAAAAAATTCAAAATTTTGTAATTTTAGTCAAATTTGGGTTTGATGTCATATGGCATCATCGGTCAATAAAGATAATATCTGAAAACAAAGTTATAAAATATTTTTATTGAATTATACATAAACAGCACAGGCAAAAAACTTTTTGTTCAAAAAACATGTTTATTCTAATGTATGTAAGCAATAAATACAGTTTTACTCAATTGTGGAAGTCTACATAGCAGTTGCGATTGGCTAACAACAAAGGAAAACATTACATTTTGCACACATCATTCTGCTATAACTCTGACACAGCCTGCATCTTTTTTTATCTTTTTGTGGTTTTGGCCAGTGTCCTATATGATCATATCTAATATCATTAATAGGGATTGGTATGACTGGTTTCTTTTTATTCCTTTGTTGAACTTGCTTGATACTGCTAAGTTTAGCTGGTCTTCCCCTACCCTGGATTGCTTTTAATTTATTCGCTTGGATAGGAGCATTTAAAATACCTACTGTAAATTCTGCTAATGCTTGATGTTTGTTGTTTGAAAGACCTAATTGCTGATAATGCCGTTTATTTAAGATCCAGGCATTCACTTTGGTCACATCTACAAAATGCCAGAACACTTTGATGTACCATCGTCGTGTTTTTACTTCTGTGTGGTACAAGGCAACTAGCATATCTGCTAGATCTAGACCTCCCATGCATTTATTGTATGCTACCACTATATATGGGCAGACAACGTTTTTTTTTTCTTTTGTTTTGCTGCACCAGCAAAAAAGTTGGATACTAAATGTACAATATTGTTGCATAACCATTTCACAACAATTAGTGCAGAACTTTTATCAATACGATAATCAAGTGAACCTCTATCTTATTTTTTGAGTTCTTTTGATGTATTACTCAGTAATAGTAAACCTAGTAATTTACTTGGCACCCATGTAAACGATTTGGTCTGATTGTGCCTGCAGCTTTTATTCCAATTGGTATTGGATCAAATCAAGGGTGGAAATATCATAAATACAACTCCTTTTGGCCAATGACGCCATGTGGCATCATTTACTTTTGAAAATTTATAATACACAAAATAATGATCACTTTTTAACTAAAATACCCTCAAATAAATCTTTATTATTTATATTTTGAATATCATTTAGTAAAGTGTTTTTAAATGTGTTATCTAAATATAAAATGAAAAAAATAAAAATGAGATATTTGAGTTTTTACATCTTTCCTCTACTACAGTAATAAACCAAGTGTTTACTTCTTACAAAGTATGTTCTACCATTATGAAAAGTTTTAGCGTGTGTACACCTCAGTGTTGAATAACAAACAAAAGCATTCTCCTTATTACAGGCTTTAGTAAGCTAAAGAAGAACTCCTAAAGTCACTGAAGCCGTATGGCATCACCGGCCCATAAAGGGTTAATTTTGAAAAGAGAAATAGAAATATATTAATAGAAAAAAGTTACTTAATTTTTAAAATGTAAAGTGACTTATGGGCCACCTGTATTATTTTGAATTTACAATGTTAAAAGTTTTAAAGTAAAACTAAAAATTATATAAAAGATACTTTTAAAAATGTTGTTTTGCAGAATTTTATAATTTATATCATTTGCACCAGTGATTTCATATGCCGAACATTTAAATTTGTTATTACCAAAGATAAATATTTTTACTTTTTTCTCATTAAAAAAATATAAATCATAATATACTAGCTGAGATCGGGTCTTTGTAAGTCTATACCGAACCAAACTTTTCTACACTTTTTCCCTATACATCCTAGCTTTCCGGATCGGTAAAATACGGGTCTTAACAAAGCCTACTATTACTATCCGTATCTATTCTGCACTGATTATTTATATACCTATTCCTTATTTAATTCAATATTTTTTAGTAAAACAATTTATTCTGAAAAAAAACATTCAAAAGTAAAAAACTTAACATTATTATTAAAGATGCATTATTCTTTATATACCTTTTCCGCATATGTAAAGCTTTTAAGAGACTTATAATTAGGTTTAATTTTCTATTAAATGCATTTCATTTGATAACTCAGTAGTTAAGTACGCTGCACTATGAGTCCAAATCATTAAAAAGTGGCCAAAAGTCGATTTTAAAAACTATTTCAATATTATTAATTTTTTTATAATTTAGAAAGGATATTTGCCTAATTACTGGAAAACATGTTTTGCAGAACTTTTATTACGAGTTTTACAAGTTTCGCGAGTAGCGTTAAGCGCTTAATAATTTAAAAAAATCCGAGAAAATTTCAAGAATTTTTTAAATTTTTTTGAGTTGATTATTTTTTTGTATCATTGCAATTGACAAACTCTTTTATTTTATTTTCTTATGATATTATAATTACTGTTTCAATAATAATAAAAAAAAAGCCATAACTCGATTTTTTTATCTTTCGATTTTGCGTTTTTGAAGAAGAGTTTAAAACTTTTAAAATGTGTATTTTTATGGTCACAAAAACTGAAAAAACTTTACATGTCCGCTTTTCACCCCTTCTTAATTTCTATAACATCATTATGAATGTATTAGACACAAAACAAATAATTTTTTAGCTGCTCGAACTTGCTCCACTTCAATAAAATGTCAATTATTTTAGTAGACAATAGTTGAGCCGGGGAGGAAGGGGGAGGGAAGGGAAAGAAAATTGAAAACTTCATATTAGCATTTTTTTTTACTTGAAATATTTATATATATATATATAAAATGTATATATATATATATAAATAAAAAATGTATATATATATATATATATATATATATATATATATATATATATATATATATATATATATATACATATATCACGGTCGTTTCGCAATGGACATTTATAGTGCGCAGGCGCATTACTAAAGCTGTTATTTCACTTGCCTCGAAAACGGAGCATTTGGAGGTATTTTAAATCTAAGGTATACACGATACGAATAAAATAAAACTCATTAATAAAAATTTTTTTTATCAACTAAAAGTTTAGTAAGTAGAAAGAAAAAAAAAATCACAACAAAAAAAACCACGCATGAACCTTAAATTCACTTGTCAAGTTAACCGAGATTTTATCGCAGATTATACTATCTGTCTTATTCTTTAATAAAACTTACGAAGATCAATTTTTATATAAAAGTGTTATATATCATTTGAAAGAATAAAGGTTGAGCTATATTATTTAGCATATTATTTTTACCAGCCATTTTTTTTACAAAAAGATTTGAAGCTTGAAAGTTGGCTAATATTTCGCTAATTTTCTACTAATCGTAAAATAATAGGGCCGACCTATTTCGAAATCTTTAAGAACCTTATATAAACATAATAAATATATAAATAAATTAAACAATAAATTTGATAATTACATAATTATTGCATAATAATAATTTGCATAAATACTTTATTATATATAAACTATAAATTTTATTATATAATTTTTTTCTTCGAGGGTCGATTGGCGGTTTTAACGAACTCGCAATTAAATTATTTCTTAAAAAATGATCTCTCATGATACATTCTAGTTTTCTCGTACCAGACATGGTTGAGTATATTCTTCCAATATTATTAAACTCGGCATGAATACTCTCGCCACCTTGCTCCCCATATAGCCCAAGGCCAACTCCTCATGTGCTCAAAAAAACTCCAATATGATTTTCCAACAAGTGCATTTTTGGAGTTATTGACTCATTAGGCCAAGTGCTTCTAAAAAACTTCATTAGTTCGCATACAGCTGTTTCTACAAAACAAATTAACAAGTATTAAAAAAAATAATAATAATAATACTATATATTTTATATATATGGCAAAATATCTTCATCACTATTTATTAAAGATTATAATACTCCTTAAAAAAAGACTTCTTCTGCAAATAAAAAACTACTTCTATAATAAAAATTTTCATGAAAAATTACCGAAACTCTTTATATTTTCTTCGTTGAATAAGTGACATGAATTCATTTCATTGTCGCACTTTGAATATTTGTGAAATAATGCTTTAAATTTTTGCTGTATGTCAACCGCCTCCATATAAATTGGATGTTCTCTATCTGCTATATTATTAAAAACTGTTTGAGAAATTGAGTCACATAACTTTTTTATGTTATCAACCTGAAAAATAAAATACATATATACGCATATATATATACTATTATATATAGGTATTATAGTAGAACTATTATTTGGAATGATAACTAAATTATTTAATGCAGAGATGGCAAAATTTTAATGCCTAAAAACATAGATTTGTATACAAAAACATGTACCTTTAACATTTTGTGAACATGATTTCCAACGAACGAGCAACTGTGATAAGCTTGACGTTGTACTCCACATGACTGCAAAACAGATTCAATTTCCTTTAATATTGGCCCCATTCTTTCTATTAACTTAAATTTTTAGCATTCCGCAATTTTTCCTTCCTTTAAAATTAATACAAATATAGATGTATACAAAATCCAGATAATACAGTCATTGAAATATTAAAAAAAAAAATGCCCTTAAAAAAAACTATCCTCTCAAAATAATTTCCAGTACTATTTAATGTTGATAGCTTTTCTATTCTCTTCGATTTTAACAATGCAATTCTCTCAGAGTACATTAACTGCAAGTACTCTGTATTTTTAGGGCTGCGAAATACTTCAACGACTATTGTATCTTGAATAAGAAGAATTTTTGTATTTATATCATCAACGTCATATTCTAATTGATGTATCTCTGCCTGCTTCTCAACATATTTGTCAAATTCACTTGATTCAAGGAGTTTATCATTTATTGCTAGAAATCCAGCTAGTTTGATATCAAGGAGATGACATTCTACCTCTAACATTTTGAAGAATTTTAGAAATATTCCCAATGAGATGTGTAGAGCTGGTATTGCTATCTATAAAATGATTTTAACAATTGCATAATAGCTCTATATATAAGTATATATATATACATATATATATATATATATATATATATATATATATATATATATATATATATATATATATATATATATATATATATATATATACATATATATATATATATATACATATATATATATATATATATATATATATATATATATATATATATATATATATATATATATATATATATATATATATATATATATAAACTTATATATATAGTGCCTATATATAAGTATATACTATTATATATTATATACTATTATATTATATACATATATATATATATATATATATATATATACATATATATATATACATATATACATATATATATATACATATATATATATATATATATATATATATATATATATATATATATATATATATATAAACTTATATATATAGTGCCTATATATAAGTATATACTATTATATAGAGGACCCCCCCCCCCCCCTAAAAAAACACAGCCTCAATCTTAATCTTAATAACAATAAAATCTTCAAAACATTTAATCATTTAATGTATTTCTAAAAAAATAATAAATCAAATTTAATACTACTTAAATAAAGCTACTTAAATTTTGGAAAGGGGCCTCTACAATTTGCTGCCCCTGGTTTGGGGTAGCCTAACCACAGACCTGCATTTATATTTATATTACTGGCATTAATGCTTTGGCAACAATTAACACACACCTGTTCAATTGGTATATCAAATAACGGCTCATCAATTACATTATTGAAATTCTTTGCACGTTTGATATTGCCTCCATCATTTTTGAATCGTTCATAATCTGATTTTAAAGTTGCAAGCGTTCTCAAAAGAATCGGTCGCGTTCTAGCTTCAATGTTCAATTGCATTTCACTTGATGTGATTTCACAGAATAAGCAGCAATGACGACCTGTTAAATTAAATATTCATAATATTACTTTTAATGCTCTTTGTGTACATTTTTAGTAATTAAAATAAGAATATAAGCTAAAAGAAATACAAAACTATAAGCTAAGCAGTTGCTCCTGTGATGCCATAAATAGCACACAAAAATACATAATCACCAAATATAAATACACGCAAACATTTTTCCCTAAAATGAGAATGTATTAAAATCAAATAAAAGTTTATTAAAATATCTATGTTTTTTATTTTACAAACATTTCTTATCCAAATAAACTTTTGAAATATTTTTTTATTCACCTCCATTTCATTGCTTGAAGCTGTCTAATTTCATCTATGTGTCGTGTGAGTGAAATTTTGAGGTTTGCTCTATAATCTTTGGCCTCAAATATATTGAAAACAGTCGTATTATTTTTTGAATTGGGTGTAGCAACATTAGCTACCTGATAGCTCATTTTAAATGAACCACCTCCGTGGTCACCACCAATCTTTATACGTATTTCACTAGGAGTTATCTTTTCAAATGTTAGTTGGTTATATCTATGATAATAAAGAAAGAAAATATATTTACAACAAAAAAATATATACAATTTATGCAGAGATATAATATTTGCACAATTTATGATTTACACTTCTTAAGTTATATTTAAAACATTCAATTTTCAATTTTCTTGCATATTTAACAAGAATTAATAAACATTACATTAGTCTCTTATATTTTGCACTTACCTTTCTAACTGATCCAGTACCTTGATTAAATGTGATGGCAAATCATTAATATATGCTGTAGGTGTATCTTTCAATTCAAAAGTTCCTTTTTTGTTTTTTAATTCAAACAGCAGTTCTTTATCTTCAACAATCAAATCGTTACCTGACCAATATTTTGCAACTTTTCGTTGATTAGAAAGTGAGGGTAATTTGACATTTTTTGTCTGGAAATATCTGAAATATAAAAGTTTTTTTAATTTGAAAAATTAAATGAAAAAAAAAATAAAGACAACAAAATGCTGATAAATATAAATGCAATTTGTAATTTGAAATAACTTGATTATTGTTTTATGCATAATTTATTTTTATTAAAATAATGTTATATACCTTATCATTTTTTTCATCTTTTCCCAAGGTAAACCACAGTCTGCTTTAAGTGATACAATATCTTCTGGTCCTATCTCAACTTGGGAGAGATTTGATTTTTTTAGAATATCAATTTTATCGTTTTTATTAAAAGAATTGAGCATAAGTGCTACTTGTTGTATTTTTGCCTTTTTTGTTGGTCCTGCATTATCTATTAGCGATTGGTGGAGTTGCTTTTGACGTCTATAAATGGTTTTCTGACTAATCTCAGTTGATGTTTTAAAGCTGTTTGTAGTCACTAAAAACTGTGTAGCCTAATTAGTGAAAAAAAATTACTCTTTATGCAAATACATTATTTATAATAAATTTAACTAATAATATTTTTGTTAAAAAAATTTAATCTCTTACCCTTGGACCGCTAGAAGGAAGTTCAAATGAATGTGAATTGTTTTTTGCCATTTTTAGCTTTGCAAAGTGAGCAAATGCATATTCTAGTTCTTTAGGAATATCACTATTTGTATTAATTTTGTAAATATCTGTTACTGTCAATAAAGAGGAAGACGATGCTGAACATTGGGGTAATATGTTTCCACTTTTCCATACTTGTTCATCTTCTTCCTTATTGCTTATACTTTTGCATGAATTTTCGGAACACTTTAGAACTATATTTTCAAGGATATTTTGCATAGTTGTTGCTTTTGAAATGCTACCTAAAGATATATTAGAGCCACATAACTTGCATTTTGCTTCTGTCTCTAATTTTCCAACTAAATTTGGAAAAATACATGAAGCACAAAATAAATGTTGGCAGTTATTAAGTAAAACAGGTCGATGAAATATTCTTTTACAAATCTTGCAGATGCATAAATCTTTGTGGGGGTTATTAACTATACTGATAGACTCATAGCATAAGCGAGGCATTTCAGAAAAACTGTCTAATATTTCATTAATTGATTTCCTTGCCCAAACATCTTTATTAACTGATGGTGGTCTTCCAAATGGTTTCTTTTTCTTTCTGCCAGATTTCTTTCAAAAACATATACAGCTTTCAAGTGAGCACGTATGCGGCCAGCTAGTTAAAATGAAATTAAAAGAGGTCGTTCCTCGCTGTTCAATATGTCTCATTAATGTATAACATTTCATGCAAATTTTTGGTGGGTGGATCTCCGTTCTGTCTTCTCCTACCTCGGTAAAAAATGCTTGGTCAACTCTTGCTATTATATTTATTACATTAAATGAGTCAGTTGCAATATAATTTCCACATAGACTGCATAGTTTGATAAGACACAAAATGTGGTTAGAAGAAGTAGCAGTCGCCATACTAGGTAGTTCGGTGAATTTTTTTATTTTAAAATATCTAAAACTTAAAAAAATGGCTGGTAAATAAATTTAGTAATTCCTAAAAATATTTAAATTTTAGTTTAATAAACAATTTAGTTCTTGAAACAAAATTGATTTAAAAAAGTTACACAAGTTTGAAAAACATTTTTTTTTTTTTAATATAGATTTTTAAAGCCAGTCAAAGATTGCCAAAAACCGATTGAAGCAGGATTTCTTTTATTTAAATATAATCTTTGGTCCTTTAAATTTTATAAAATCTTTGAATGATATAAAACAACATTAATAAGTATAAAATATAATAATTTTAAAATGTGATCCTATTCTCGTCGCCTGCAAAAAATATGGAAATTCTTGATTTTACCAAAGTCCATGTAAACGCATGCGCACTATAAATTTCCGCCGGGGATCAATATTGAACGATCGTGATATATATATATATATATATATATATATATATATATATATATATATATATATATATATATATATATATATATATATATATATATGTATATAAATATATATATATGTATGTATATATATATATATACATATATATATATATATATATATATATATATATATATATATATATATATATATATATATATATATATACATATATATATATATACAACTAACAAAGCTAAAAAAACATTTAAAAAATCATTCTTCAAGCAACAATTTTAAAACTTCGGAATCTAAGTTAACAGCACCAATGGATTTAGTAATTTTGAAGCTGATTGATGACACTATTGGATCACTTTGCAACAGCAGATAATGATATTGGTTTTCGATTGCATTTTTTCTCGAAATTTTACATGTATGGTTTAGTCTTGCATTTCAAATGTATTTATTTTGTGCTTCCTGAGACTCTTCTGAATATACTCCGATTGGGAGTTCAAAGCAATCAGAAATTTGATAACCATGCTCTAATAGCTTGTGTACAGTAGGTGGCATTATGTACCAGTTATATTTTTCAATTATCATTTCAGAAGTAGCTAAACAATATTTTTTGAAAGCCTCTAAATCAAGGTGGTACCCACTGCACACAGCTTTCATTATATTTCTTAATCTAACAATAATATTAAAATCAACTCCTTTAATATCTGCAAAAGTATCTGCATTCTCAAATGCTTTTCTGGCTGTGTTACCTGTGTTTGAAGAACCATAGCCATGCTTTGGCATATCGATAACAAGACTGAGCTCACTTCTAAACCGATTCTGAATTTCATTTTTTTGCTCAACAACAGAAAGCTTATGTTCTTCTGATATTGCCTGATATTTTTTAATTTTAATTTTATATCCTAAGTGTAGAACATACTCTAACAGTTTAACCCAACAATGTAATGTAGATATTCCCATTTTAAGAGACTTTTCATCAGGAGTGAACATTCTGATTTTTACTAGATTGTTCATATCGCTTGGCTTTGCAAAACAAACATTGCACGATTGCGATGAATTCAAAGCCATGACAGCATTTACCGATTTTCCATCAAGCATAGTTAAGTCAACAACAATTTTAATTTTTATGGAACCATGCTTTTCATTACTAAAGAGATGTAGATCTAAAATATAGTCCTCGAGATTTTCAATTTGTTTTTAAGAAAAAGAAAGACTTATTTCTTCTTCTGCAATGAGTTTAGTTGTTTCCTTTTGGTATTGTATTTGAAGAGATCTACAGAAATGAGGGCTAGATAGTTTGGGATTATTCCAGATGTTTGTATCCCCAATTCTTAACTTTAAAGGAACTATTGCAGTTTGAAATACTGATTGTTCATTTTGCATTCCACTAGTAAGATCAGTATCATCAAATCTTTGATTATAAATACTTTGTGAAGATGCCCCATCCATGCCACATTTCAAATTAAATACTCCACTTGTCACAGTTTCATCTAAATTCTGAAGCTGCTCAGACTTTAGTTTCAAAATTCGGGACAAAGTATGGTTAACCATGTTCTAAAAACTACACTTTGCAGATGTTTCTGTAATATGCAAACCCTCTGGGTAACAATCTACTTTTGATTTTAGGATTGTTTTTAACGGGGGATAAATGTCAGCATTTTGCATCAGAGATAAGTTTCGAATAATCTGATATTGCGAATCACTCAAATCACAATGAATTTTAAGTGATAAAGCTTGTTCTGCAGACATCATAGTTGGCTGATGTTTGTCCTTTTTTTTTGTTTTGCTTGTTTGAACTTGAGAAAACATTCCCAAATCCAATTTTTTAGGACTTGATTTAGTACTTACAACAGCAGCTTCTGCTAACTCTTTAGTTGAATGGGTTTTAGCCAATCTAAAAAAACATAATCATTATTGATTAACGTGTTTCCATTATGATAATGCAAATTTTCACAAAGGTTACTTAACTCATCTTTTTAAGTCACTTAAAAAAATGAGTTGACTCAAACTCAACTCATTTTTTTAAGTCACTTAAACAGCTTTCCTTAGTATCATTTCTTAACTAAAATGATGCTATGGAAAACGTGAAGAAAACTTTTACAAATAAATATCCTTCTAGGGATCTTATATAAGAATTTTCTTTTTCCTATTTGATTTGTTTTCACCATGGCTAAAGAGCCTTACCTGCCTTACTTAGATTTTTATTATATATATATATATATATATATATATATATATATATATATATATATATATATATATATATATATATATATATATATATATATATATATTTATAACAATTTAACTTGTTTTTAAAGTCACATGTTTTTTAAAAGAAACACAATAATTACTTTTAAAAATTAAGTTAAAACTACCTTGAAACTTTCCTTCTTTTTGTTCTTAATGAACACTCTGTCCATTTTTTTTCTGGTCTACCGGCTTTTATAGCTAAATCAAGTTCAGCTTTTTTATTCTGAAACAACTCACCCTCTAACCAGGGCAGTTCTTGTTTAGTTAGTCTTGCAAAATTACGAATTTGCTTTGTATACTTTACTCTAAATTTCAGAATAAAAAGTCTAATTTTTTCTGAGAGTTCCACATCGGACAGTTCTTCATAGGTGATCATTTTTTTTCTCACTTCAACTTCTAAAACAGCTTGCAAACCCACATGATTAATACCAACTTCCTCAATTATGTTTAAAAGTTCTAGTCTTTTTATGCTTAATCATCAACAAAAAAAGCGCTTGAATAATCTTGCAAACAAATTCTTGTACACTTTAGCATAAATATTGTCCGAAAACAATTTAATTTCAACTTCCTTTACAGTAAAGTAATTTTTTTTTTGAGTTTAAATAAGATTAGTATAAAAAAACTGCTTTTGATAAAAAGAAAAAATCGGAAAAATATTTTAGCCACTTTTTCGCGATTTGGACTCACTGTGCGCTGTCACCGGTTTTGTATTTGGCGGTTTAAGAATTTCCTTCAGCGTAATAAAAAACTTGAAATTTTTTTCAATCATGCTTATATACTTATAACAAAAAAATAATAACGTAGCAAAAAAGATTTTTAAATTTAAAATAAAATTTTAATGTTTTCTCATTTTATAGATATAGTATACGCTATTATCTCTATATAATGCAAACTCGACATATGCTAAAGACGTTTACACCTACAAACGTTTGTACGTAACGCTATACAAATAGGACTAAGAAGATCTTAGACCACTAAAATATAGTCATAAAAAAAGTGCATTCTAATAATCATTATTAAAAACTTAAGAATAATAAAGCCTTAGCTATTAAACGCTAATCTAAAGGTTAAGCTAAGTAAATTTTGCGCATTGACGTCGGTTTGCGGCAAAATAAACTTTTATGCGTCAAGTTTTCTTTTTTCGATCTTTCAAGCTTTGATTAATTTTAAAATTGCATAAAAATATATAAAAGCGGTAAAAATAATATTACGGATATGAGATTGTATTTATTACAATAGTAATAAATAAATAGTTTTTGACTTTATTAGAATATATCCCACTAAAATATATTCCATATATCTTTAATAGAAGGAGTAAATTAAAATCAAATTATTTCATGTTTGTTATTCTAGTTTTTTGCAACAAAGTGACGTCACATACGGAAATATTTTGTGGTTACTAAGATTTCCGACTATCATTTTTAATAACCTGATAAGCAGAAGACGTAAATTTAGCAATCATAAATTATCAAAGAGAGGGACAAATCTAAAATTGAAGTTTTAAATTTCCCACTTGGATGAGACAATAGGTTTTGTGATTTTTCAATCTTGTCATTTTTTAAAAAATAATAACATATTTTCAAAAAAAAAAAACGTTTACTTATATTACATAAGAACCTGAATAAAACGTTATATAAGTGGTTTTTTCACATTTTATAAACAATATACCTAAACAAATTACATATTTGCTAATATATATTGTTTATATAGGGAGGTTAAGCGCCAAACCTGCATATACAATAAAGTTTAAAAAAATGTGTTAGATAATAAAAAACGGTTAATAAAATGTTTCTTTGCAACACTAATATATTAAATTTATATAATATATTATACTTAAAATTTAAAATGTACTAAATTGCAATTACTTTTAATTTTTTTGCTTTAGTAAGCATTAGTTAAGAGCTTTTTGCGTCAAATTATCTCATTTTAACATACATCCATTCGGCAGCCGTTTTTCAAAACGCTGCAGAATGGATGTATGTTAAAATGAGATAATTTAACTCAAAAAGCTCTTAACAAATGCTACTAAACCAAAATAATTAAGGTAAAAAAACGCTTTAAGGAAAAAAAAAATCAATTTTGACTTTTTTACAAAATAAGCTAGTTTTGATGTCTATAAACAATATTAAATAGAATATAGTTCTGAAAATAGTTCTGAAAATATTCTAATAAAGTATTAGTTTCAAATTTTTTTTTAATTGCGTTTTTCTCGAAATATGTAACAAGCATATTAAGGCATTTTGAAAAACGGCTACAGCATATATGTATAGTAATAAAGCAAATGCACCAAAAAAAAAACTTTAAATTTTCAAAACAAAGTTTTTCTAGCTACGGGTATATTTTTTTACGGGTTATTATTTTTTTACGGTTTTTTTTTTTTTTTTTATTATTTGCCTTGACAGCAGCACCTTCTTAAGCAGCAGGACTGTCTTGTTAAGTTTTTGCTTTATTCGGTTTTAGATAACTTATTTTTGAGGCCATCCGCAGCTTATTAGGACTAATTACCTGAGCACATTAATAACATAAGTGTCTCAACCATCATACATACGCAAGAAATTTTTTCTCCTGGAGGTGTTTTTTATCTATTATACAAATCTTTTCTTTTGTAAATGTGTATAATACCGTTACGTTACATATGTTTGTATATAATCTTTATAAAACTTCAAAAGTATTTTGTATTTTAAAAAAATCTCTGTTATTTACTATAATATTAAAACTACTAATTAAAAAAAAACCTACTTTCAACACTGACTGCAAATAAATTTGTTGTTTGAGAGACCCATAATAAGGTTGGATTTGTATTCTTTTGCTTTTATATTCTTTTATATATATTCTTATTTTATATATATTCTTTTGCTTCAAAAATACTAAAAGACTTGCGTTTCCCTTGGCATTCGGCTTATCAACACTCACGATTTGATAACACATTTTTGGATCCACCACCATAATCACCACCAATTTTAATGCGTTACATCATTTTTCTTTATCGGAGTGCTGTAACAAGTTTTTAAATAGTATTTTGCAAAGGCTTCATCATAAAAGTTAAAATCAAGGTGTATATATATGTATGTATATATATATATATATATATATATATATATATATATATATATATATATAAGTGTATATATATATATATATATATATATATATATTTTTATATATATAAATGAACAAAAAAATTGGTGCATGTCAAACAAAAAAAATGCTTGTCGTAAAATCTATAATTATCCATTTTAGGAAGAAATTTGTTTTAAATGCACCAAAACGAACAGCAAATAGTTTTAAGAATGCAGGGGCATACGCAGATACAGTATTTTTTAACGTTTAAGGTTAACTTCCAGACATAGAGCAAACTCCAAACATATATGTTTATACTTATGTCAGACAAAGGATGCTTAGAGCCTGGCAACGAAAAGCCCTAAATTTTTATCTACAACTGCCTGATACGTAAGAGCAACAAATTGATAAAATATTTTTTTTAATATTCTCAACTAAATCTAGATTCATCAATCAAATTTAATATTGACACAAAATCTTTTAACGGTCGAAAACTATGAAAAATAAAATATTTGAACCACTTCTCCTCATCCTCATTTTGAGGGGGTACTCATTTTTCTCAAACAGCAAAAAATCACTCTTTTCAAACATAAAATTTTTTTTTTCCACAAATAAATCATTTAGCTTCTGTTGCTAACTTTTCTTAATTTTGTATATTGGCAACAATATTTGCTACACTGGTATAATCAACTTTAAAAAGAGATCAATAAAATAAAGAAAACAAAACAATTTACTATTAGCTTAAGAAATTTCGTTTTATTATAATATAGCTAATTAGAAAACAAAACATTTCGAAAATTTTACAAAAAAATGTAATCTTTTGATTTAAAAGTAAAGGTTGGTTTCCATATAGTCGCACGACAGTCGTGCGACAACTGTCGCGCAACAACATTTTCAATATTTGTCGCACGACTAGGTGTTTCCATTAATTTTAGAAGCGTTTTCAAAACAAATATTTTTTTATCACTTCCGTGATGCCAAGAAAATATTGTTCCCATCCTTTCTTTTATTTATTTATTATAATACTATGAACCATTTATGATACATTTGCTTTTAGCTAAAGATTTTTTTAATTATCTAAACTACAAAAAACACGCTTAAGTATCAAATTTTAAAAAATTCAATAATTTTAGCATTTATCAAAATTTATTTTAAAATACCACGTTAAAAATATCTGTATAAAAATTATTTTCAACTAATTGTTGTTAAGAAATAGTTTCCTAACACTTGAAAAAAGAAAGTATTAAGATTTTTATCATTCGCTTTAATACTATTGGAGCATTTTTCTCTTACTTTTTTTTTTGTTTAGTAAATAAAGTAAATATTAAAAAAAAAATTAATAATAAAAATTTATTGATTTTAGACCAATGGCAAGGAATAAAAAATATGATCTCCTGAACTGCCAGCTTGCACTTTGCAATACTTTATTAGCTCTTAGAACATTGCAGAGTAAAAAAGAAAACATAAATTTTGGATTCGCTCCTTGTTTAAAAACCGTTATGGAAAAGGAGCATTTAACACACTTATTCCTGAGCTACAACTTCATGACAGAGAATTTTTTTATCGTTTTTACAGAATGTCACCTAAAAGGTATGAACACTTGTTGTCCACAGTTGCCCCTAGCATTACAAAAAAGCCATGTCGAAGTCGCCAAACAATATCACCCTCAGAACGATTGACTGTGACACTGAGATACCTGGCTACTGGAGATTCACAACTAACACAAGCTTTTTATTTTAGACTGGGCTGAACAACAGTATGCAACATTATAAATGAAACAACAAAGGCTATTTGGGATGTGTTAAAACCATGTTATTTAAAGGCACCAAGTACATTAATGAGTGGGAAGAATTGGCAAACCAATTTGAAAATGAATAGAACTTTCCTAGTTGTATTGGAGCCATTGATGGTAAACATGTATGTATAGAAGCTCCTAGTTTGAGTGGATCAGCATATTATAACTATAAAAATTTCACAGTATGGTTTTGCTAGCCATATGTGATGCAAAAAATTGTTTTACTTTGGTTGATATAGGTTGCTATGGCAGAGATAACGATGCTTCAATATTCAATGAAAGTAAAATGGGTAAAGCTTTCAAAAAACAACTTATTCAAACTTCCTAAAACCCGAATGCTATCAAATGGCACACAAGTACCACCAGTTCTGGTTGGTGATGATATTTTTCTACTGAAATCATGGTTAATGAAGCCTTTTTCTGGTAAAAATTTGACAATCAAAGAACGTATTTTTAACTATCGATTATCTAGGACTAGACGAACAATTGAAAACACATTTGGAATTATGGTAGCTAAATGGAGAGTATTTAGGCGTCCAATAAAAGCTAACCCAGAAAATATTGAAAACATTATAAAAGCTGCAAGTTGTTTACATACTTATTTAAGGATCAATGATGGCATTACCTATGTACCATCTGGATTTGTTGATTTTAAAACAAATTTTGGTAAAGTTATTCCTGGAGACTGGTGCAAAATAACAGTTGAAGGTAATGCTTTACATATTTTACCTTGATGTATAAGCAATCGATACACAACAGATGCGAACACTGTAAGATTAACGCTAACAGAGTATTTTAATCATCCAGGTGGATCCTTGTCGTGGCAACACGACTATGTAACTAGTTGTGGACACGATCTTGCAGGAAATAGAATATTTTTGGAACAATGAAAAAAATAATCTTATAACTGTATTATTATATAATATTGAAGAATGGTTTAAACTATGTGTAACAGAATATTAAATTTCTTAATTATATGTTAAAAAACAAACAAACAAATTTTATATCAGTCAACAATATCTGGAAATTCTAGAGCATCTAAATATTGCTATATGTTTTTTTTAGCAACTGCTTGAGTTTTAGGAGGTAGTCTTTTGATTGTAGCACAAATAGATTTACAAAAATGTATTATATCGTCGTTTTCTTCATGTGTACTAACTGCTAGTGTTGCATTAATATTGTTCATCGTAATAATTATTGCATCTTGTATCTTTGAATTTTCATCAGGTAGAGATCTTTTCAATGTTTTTTTTCTTATATTTATAGGAGATTTTATTTCACTTAATGCTTTTCGTTGATTACTGAATGTATTTGAATTACTTGTATTTTCGCTTAAATTTTCATTTTCTTATTCTACTTTATTACTAACATCTTCGTCATAGGTTCATACTATCATTACTATCTATACAAGACAAAGGCGATTCTGTTGTTAACTCTGTGGTTGTTGCTTTATTTTCAACATTAGTTGTTGTGTCTCTATGGTCAATGTAAACATTTAACCACTGCAAAAAATCGTACTCTTTACTGATAATTCGTCCTGAGCCCGAAAGTATACTCTTTTTTTCCTTAAAAAGCGTCCATAAGCCGATTTTATATTTTTGTGTTATGATTCACATTCCTGGTCAGTTAAACCAAACAAAACGCCAATGGCTGCCCAAGCATTTTTTTTCATAATATTGTCCTTAAATTCAGCATTGAATTTGTCGTAAAGCACAGGATACTTCTGCACTTCCTGCATAAAGCTTTCTTTGCTAAATTCTTCGATAAGTCTTTTTTGTTCAGGTTCCATTTTATGTTGATGTGTGAAAACCTTTTTTTTTAATATTCCGTTTTTTTCCAAATTACCAACCAATCATATTTAAAGTTCGCGCGACAATTGTCGTAGAGATAGAATTTTTTCTATCTCTGCGACACCTATGGCACGACCGAAAGACAGTCTTGCAAGACAAAATTTGTCGCACGACTTTTGTTTCCATATAGTCGCACGACCGTTTTAGATGGAAACCAACCTTGAAATGAAATCAATAAAATGTAGAAAATAAATCTATTTACTTTTAGCTAAAGATTTGTTTTATTTGAGTATAGCTGAATAAAAAACAAAACATTTCAAGAAAAAAATGTCATCTTTTGATTTAAAGATTTTCATTAAAAATCATAACTTTAACAAAAAATTATTAGTAAAAAGATTTATCTGCCAACCCTAAAACAAATCGCTATGGTTTAAAAAAAGTTTGAAATATTAAACATAAAAAAGTCAAGTTGAAGCAGTTGAGTTTCCGAATGTAATAATATAAAAAAGTTTCTATTTTTCATGTTTTGCAACTGTTGACTGCGTATGCTCTGTGTAAAATTCCAATAATTATCAATTTGAAACTGCCGTGCGTTGTTGCAAAAAAAAATGAAAGTAAGGCTTTGATTGTATGTATTTAACCAAACAAATTATAAAACAAAATTTAATTGAAATTTTGTAATTTTTGCTTAAGATTTCATATTCATAATAAAAATAAAACTCTGCAGTATTTTTAGATGTGCTACATGAATACTTTCATAACAAAAAAAGTTTCTTGTTATGAAAAGAACAATATTTGATGCAGCCATTAGTGCAATTAGACTCTTTGAAAAATTTGAATATAAAGATAAAAAATACATACATATATACATAATCTTTCTGAAAATAATCTACATTATATAAAAGAGCATATCATTCAACATTATTATTGTGAAAAAGTGAAATAAATTTACAAACAATTATATTACTTTTTATTAAACAAATATATACTAAACAAAAACTACATCACAGTGAAAATAATGCAATCAAAAAAAATAAAAATAAAAATCATATCCAAGTTAGGACCGGATCAAAAAAAACGTCTTTTAAACGTTCAAAAGACGTCCAAAACATGTATAAGTCTTTTTTACGTCCGTGCCCACTGGTATATAAATAAAATTAATTACGGGTAAGATTTTTTAGAATTAATTACTTACTTTTTTTTGGGTCCAAAGATTTCAAAACGGTCACTTTGCGGTGCGTAAAATTCAGTAAAAACCACATCTAGAATGGTAACAAACATTTCACAGTATGTTTATAATATAATTTTGCAGGTATGGGAGCAGAATTAAAATGATTGCATAACTAGATCTGAGGTAAATAAAATTCAAATACCTTGCTTATAAAAAGACTTAAAAATAAAACTTTGGGCTTGAATAACACTAGCCTGAAAAATATATTTAAAA